TTTTAGTACTTTTGAAGAAGAAATATTTGGGGAAATATACCCGAATAAACTATGTTGATATCATTTCAGATTTGATCCGAACAGATATGACGAATAATAAATGCATTTAATAGGTTACAGTTAGGCTATTGCAGGTTGTGTTGAGACTGTACGTGTTTTTTCAAATACTTTTTTTATGGATGGCATAAATGCAATGAAATTTGACCCCTAAATATATATATTAAATACAAATTAAAATTACTTGTTTTTGGAGAAGTATCAGTGATTTTATTTTATTTATTTATTTATGCATGCATACAATGGATGTCAATGGTAAGAAAAACTGTTTGGTAACCAACATTCTTCAAATATTTTGCATAGATTTTTCATTTCTGTGTGAACTATCCCTTTACGCATTCAACAAAGTTCAGTTTCCTAAGTGTTTTGACTCATAAAAAGAACTGGTTCATAAGAGTCATCCATTCACGAACTGGACTGACCTGGTGCTGTATGGTTTTATTCATTAAATGAACTGGCTCAGAGGCAGAGTTTGTTTGTGAATCAGACACTGTTTGCTTTATGTTTACATGCTAGATTCAGTCGATTCGGTAAATAATCAGAAGTCTAAGGCTGATGATGCACAGGGCAACTTTCTGAACAACGTTGCCATCAACGGGCAACCAGGTGAGACACAGGGCCCACGACTGATCTAAAGAATCCAGACAGAAATGTGTTACCCATCCTCAATGGGAAAGTGCCTAGGCAACATTACTCAAAAAAGTTGCCCTGTGTATCATCATAAAAACTTCCTTATTCCTTACTGTTGACATCTCACAACAGTTCAGATTTACTTCTACAGAATTACAAATAACATTCTAAAATCAAATGTCTTGGATTGTAGAATCAGTGAAGTGTGTAGACTACATTAAGTCTTGTGTTCATGAACAAAACAAACTGTGTAGGCTCCATTTTTATCCTCTCGACCCTCCCTGTTTAATGAATATGACATTGACGTTGTGCTTTTGCATTACATGACACCTTGGCTATGCTTGCTCTGAGAGGTTCTAGGTGCTGCCCAAATTAAAACCTTATTAAAATGTTAATCTGATATGGCAATCAGTGCCAGTTTTGTAAGCTTTATATTAATGTGGTCTTGTTTGGGCAAGAAAACCGAATTCAACAATTGATTAAATAAATGAAAACTGGCCTGAATGAGTTCTAAGAAAATGGCAATAACTCTGGCTGCTAATGGATAAAGTCTGAGTTAGTTTACACGCACATGTCTGGTCACATGCCTTTATTCAACATTTTCAGTCACATGCATTTAAACCTTTTTAGTGATTCCACACCGCTTCACACACTGCACATACAGTCATTCATTATCTGTAAAGAGGAAATGGGGGATGTCCTTTTTCACAGTGAAAGCATAAAATGGCTCATAAGAAAGAGCACAAACAACACAGTGCTTTGTATTTTTAAAGATCAACATTAGTAATAGTACAACAACCAGGTGTCAAATAGCATATGAGCACTGATAAGTTGCATTATATATGTGTGTATCATTTAAATAAGGAAAAAAGTTATGCTGAGCATAGACAACACATTGCTTTCTTCCAGTTTTTCCCTCGGTTTCTTTTTTCTTTTTCTTTCAATTTATGGCTGCTGTACTAATTACACACTGCATCTGTGGCCTTGTGTGAATGGAATAGCTATTTCAGGCCATGGTCGCGTGTTTTAGATTATGAGTTATGACTTTAGTTTGGTCTGGTGTTTAAAAGGTCATTACATTTTAATATGAGCCAGTAATATGTTTTGAGAAGCACCAGGAGGAAGACAGTGATTTATTTGTATTTCTTGCCCATGCAGACCAGTGATCCCTATATAGGCCTAAAGTACACCTATTTAAAACTGACTATTTTACTTGTTCAGTAGGAATTATTTCGATATAGGGCAACTTTCTGAACAACGTTGCCATCAACGGGCAACCAGGTGAGACACAGGGCCCACGACTGATCTAAAGAATCCAGACAGAAATGTGTTACCCATCCTCAATGGGAAAGTGCCTAGGCAACATTACTCAAAAAAGTTGCCCTGTGTATCATCATAAAAACTTCCTTATTCCTTACTGTTGACATCTCACAACAGTTCAGATTTACTTCTACAGAATTACAAATAACATTCTAAAATCAAATGTCTTGGATTGTAGAATCAGTGAAGTGTGTAGACTACATTAAGTCTTGTGTTCATGAACAAAACAAACTGTGTAGGCTCCATTTTTATCCTCTCGACCCTCCCTGTTTAATGAATATGACATTGACGTTGTGCTTTTGCATTACATGACACCTTGGCTATGCTTGCTCTGAGAGGTTCTAGGTGCTGCCCAAATTAAAACCTTATTAAAATGTTAATCTGATATGGCAATCAGTGCCAGTTTTGTAAGCTTTATATTAATGTGGTCTTGTTTGGGCAAGAAAACCGAATTCAACAATTGATTAAATAAATGAAAACTGGCCTGAATGAGTTCTAAGAAAATGGCAATAACTCTGGCTGCTAATGGATAAAGTCTGAGTTAGTTTACACGCACATGTCTGGTCACATGCCTTTATTCAACATTTTCAGTCACATGCATTTAAACCTTTTTAGTGATTCCACACCGCTTCACACACTGCACATACAGTCATTCATTATCTGTAAAGAGGAAATGGGGGATGTCCTTTTTCACAGTGAAAGCATAAAATGGCTCATAAGAAAGAGCACAAACAACACAGTGCTTTGTATTTTTAAAGATCAACATTAGTAATAGTACAACAACCAGGTGTCAAATAGCATATGAGCACTGATAAGTTGCATTATATATGTGTGTATCATTTAAATAAGGAAAAAAGTTATGCTGAGCATAGACAACACATTGCTTTCTTCCAGTTTTTCCCTCGGTTTCTTTTTTCTTTTTCTTTCAATTTATGGCTGCTGTACTAATTACACACTGCATCTGTGGCCTTGTGTGAATGGAATAGCTATTTCAGGCCATGGTCGCGTGTTTTAGATTATGAGTTATGACTTTAGTTTGGTCTGGTGTTTAAAAGGTCATTACATTTTAATATGAGCCAGTAATATGTTTTGAGAAGCACCAGGAGGAAGACAGTGATTTATTTGTATTTCTTGCCCATGCAGACCAGTGATCCCTATATAGGCCTAAAGTACACCTATTTAAAACTGACTATTTTACTTGTTCAGTAGGAATTATTTCGATATGAATATCGAAAACTTCTCCATTTTCAGCTCATTATTTTGCTTT